CGACTCTGCTGTTTTTCTTTCTGGGGGAAATCTAATATATCGATTAGCTTTCTCCAGAACAGCATCAATAAAAGTGTATAATGGCTGGGACCCCATGGCGTCTTCCTCCTGCCGCTTAAAAGCCCCCGCACGGCCTCGCCCCACCGGAGGCAGGAAACCGATGTCCACTCTTACCTTGAGGCCCGCCAGCGGGCAGGGCTCCTCCTGGTCTGACCAGCCTTGGCATTCCCAGAACTCCAGCGGGCACCGTCAGCAATTTCCCCTCTCAAGTTTTGCCCGTTGTTGCAAGAGACGGTTCCTTCTCCAAGGCTCCCGAGGAAAATATCCCCGCCGTCCAGTCGATCCAGAATTAAGGAAATCTCTTTTTTTCTCTCCCACCGATCGGGGATCTGCCTCGATCTCCGATGCCAAAGCAAGAAGGGGTTAACAACGTCGCCAGGCTCCGGGGAAACTCGGATTTTCGGTCTATCAATAACCAGACAGCATTCGTTCTTTTACTCTAATTATGAGCTTTCCTGCCTAAATTGGCAGTTAAATTGTGGCTGACTAAGTTATAGCCAGAGCCTGAGACACATTCAAATGGCGGTTGGGGGGGGTGGGGGTGGGGGCTTGGGACGGGGGGGAGTGGCAGCATATGTTATTTTCAGGAGAGGATCCTGACACTCAGATTAAGTTTTGGAAAAGCTGCCAGTCTCTGAATGGGCTTTTTCTGGAGAAGAAAGTTTTGCAAGGGATTTCTGAGGAGGTCCAATTTCCTGGTATCACAAGTCCTGCAGACCGGAGCAGAAATACGGTTATACTTCTGAATTCAAGCCTGCTTTTGCGTCGCGACAAGAAACAAGGGATGGAGACTCAACGAGGAGAGAAGCAAGCTGGACTTAAGGAGAAACTTCCTCACGGTTGAGGACAATGAACCAGGGGGACTGCTCGCCACCAGAAGCCGTGGATGCTCCAACACTGGAGGTTTTTAAGAAGAGATTAGGTCTGAAATGGGGTTAGACTAGAAGACCTCCAAGGTCCCTTCCAGCTTCTATGCCATTCCATTCCAGTTTTTCTCCTCGCGCAAAGGGGAGACTTAGTCTGGCATTCGTTCGACTTGCCTCCTTTGCTAATCTTCCTTCGGGGCTCAGCCATGAGGACTAGAAACCCAGCCTTTACGGCACATCTCTGAAATGTACAGAGCCCTTTCTCTCATCCTGTTAGGTTTCGCTGCCCTTCCATTTGTGCCCCTTCCCCAGGAGGAGGTCCTTCCCCCTCCCTCCCCAGATGGGGAAAAAACAACATATCCACCGTCCTTATTGCTGACAAATTTATTTTTTTCCCCAACTTGATGGGGCGGGGGAGCTTGATGAACTGTGTTCAGGGGGAAGAGGACAATTTTGCTGTAATTAGAAATGCTTTTTTAAACACACACACACACACACACACACACACACACACACACGGGTCTCGTAGTAACGCCCCGACGACGCACAATTGGATATTAGTGGTTGATCACTTATCTCGTAGGATTGTTGCTGCCGCCTCCGGGATCTGCAATAATAGTCGGCTTGATTAGCCGATTTGCATATCCTTTGAGGACTCGAATTTGGTATTGTCTTCTCCCCCCTCTGTGCATCTGTGATTGGAGCCCTCCCCGCGGGGAAGCGGTTGCCGGTGGCCCCCTCCAAGGGGCTACTTGGGGCAGAGAGGAGACCCCCCATTTGGGGAGTGAGGAAGGGGCTCCTTTGGAGTTGGACAAAAGGAATGGGAACTTCTCCAGGGGGGGTGGTGGAAATGGCCTTTTTTGCCAGAGTTTTAGTCCAGCCCCTTTACAAAAGGTGAGTTGGGTACTGATGGGGCGAACCACGTGGGTCTCCTCCCCCCCCCAAAAAAGCACCTTCTTCCAAACAGCCCCTTCCCCAAAATTGCACCGCTGTCCCTTCTACCTGAACCTGCACCCGAGCCCGATTTCATCAGATCTGATCCAGGATCTTTGGCCTCTTGACCGTCTCTTCCGCAGGACAGCATTCCTGTCTCCCACTGGCGTCCACCAGCAGTAGAAGGGCATGGAACGAGCTGGGCATTTGTCCACTCCACCCCTGGACATCGCCAACTGGGGAATTCTGGAAGTGGGAGTCTCCAGGTCTTAAAAATGGCCGAGGTTGGACTTCCCTGCTCTGGGTCGAACGCTGTAGTGACCGTTTTGCTTTGCTAGCCACACAAGCTCGGGCCCTGTGGGAATCTTTGGACTTGGGTTGGTCAACCTTTGATCTGGGGAGGGGGACCATCAGCAAAGATCCACCCCCTGCCTCCAAATAACCAACCAATCTAGGTGACCACAGCCACCTAGTTCCTCCTCTCTCCATCCTTATACCGGTGGGAAGAAACGTCTCCTTGACTTAAGGCGACTTGTTGGGTTTGCTCCGGAATTGAGGCTTTCAGCCGGTCTGCAACCACGCTTGAAGTTTTGGGCCAGGATGGTGGATGAATGAACATGGTCACTGCCATTAGGTACAGGAATCGTATTTTCAATTCTCAGATCTATTTATTTATCTATTCTTTCTATCTATCTATCTATCTATCTATCTATCTATCTATCTATCTATCTATCTATCTATCTATCTATCTATCTATCTATCTGGCAGTTCCGTTCATTTTCCCCGGGCTAAACTTTGAAATTATTCATCCCCCCCCCCGACAATCTCCTCTTTTTGGAGCCCCCCCTGGCAACAAAGCCCTTTCGAGATGGTTTCCCTCCCCCGCTTCTCCGGCTGTCATCTCCCCAATCTAAAATGGAATCTCTGGCTTCGGATGCTTGATCAAAATTATTGTACTGGCATCTCGAGACGGAAGGACAGTGGTTTTCAGAGGCTGCAGGAGGCTTGTTCGAGGGGAAGGCGGGGGGGTCCGGAGAGGTGGGAGGCTCAGGCCAGAGGAGGGGATTGCGGGGGGTGGGGGCAAACTTTGCTATCCGAGGCTTTTAGGATCTGCTGGTGACTCCGGAGGGCTATGACTACGTTTTGCTCATCCAGGTTGACTGTTCATCCTGGTTCGATGTTCTTTCGGCTTAAAACCCAGAGGCCAGTCAGTTTAGAAGTTGGGTCACTGGAGGCCCCCAGCTTAGCTTGTTTGTCTACTTCATCACCTGTTTGTTCCAGTTTGGAGATTGGGAGGGAGGCAGAATTTTGGGAGGCTACTCTAGGTTGTTTCACAAAACAATAGTCCTTCTCTTCCATCTGTTTTTCTTCTGCGCCGCTCCTTCTCTTTTTCCTTCCCTCCTTTCCCTTCTTCTCTTCTTCCACCTCCTCCCTTTCTCTGCCACTGCTATCCGCCTCGTCCTCTTCTTTTTATATCCTCCTGGACTCTTATGCTCCTATGTGTTATTGCCTTTTGGGAAGGAAGCCACTCCAGGCCAGGGACTCACGCAGAGACGCTGCGAAGAATTCTGGGACGGAAGGGCACTGCTGCCACCCCACTTGGCATTGGTTCTTCCTGGTAGAAGCAACCCCGGAGTTTTGTTTCTGAGGCCAGAACTCGTAGCTGATTGGAGCCTGACCCCCGGGGCTGCCCTTTGCCTCTCATCTTATACCCTGAAACAGATGCAAAGTGCATCTCTGAACCCAGGTTCGAGTCTTTGCAGATCGTGCCCTAAAGCTCATAAAACACAGCCCATGGCCAGGTCTGGCTCCCTGCTTTCTCTCCCCCCCTCTCTCTCTTTCTCTCCCTCCCTCCCCCTTCTGTCCCTCTCCTCTCTCTCTTTTCCTCCTCTCCTGGCTCATATTTTTTTTAAAAATCTGCTCTGCTCCCCTTTATATTCAACGGTGAAACATTTACAGGATCCAATAAAAGGCAGAAAGCTCGCCATCCCTCCGTTTCACCAGAGGCCAAAAGGAGCTTCACTGGGCGAGTTGGGCACGCAATTGACGCCCCCTGGTAACGGACCCCCGTACATCTTTAGTTTCTGGAATTTACATATTCTGTAGGAAAATGATTGATGGCTCCTGGAAACGGGCCTGTCTACCGAGAGGCTGCCGTGCTGTTATCTGTCTTGCGCTCCTGTCTTCCTTGCATCAGAAAGATGGCAACACCTTTCCCGCATCTCTGCCCTAAGGGAGAGGCCGGGCTCTGTCATCTTTGAAAACAACCATCTGGCTTTTCCTCCAAAGACCCAGAAAGATCAGGGCAGGAAGGAAGGAAGGAAGGAACTGGAAAGGAGAGCCATGAATTTAGTTCACGGTTGATGATGCTCTAATTGCTTTCGAGCTGTGTTTCTCCACCTTGGGCACTTTCAGATGGGTGGACTTCAACTCCCAGAATTCCCCAGCCGGCAAAAACCTCCTCCCAAAGCCCATGAAATTCAAAAGCCATCCAGATCTTTTAAAAGATTATTTACAAACAGTAAAAAAAAAAGAGAGAGACACACACCTAAATTAGTTGCAATCTGGACGTCTTCCTTCCATGGTCGATGCATTTAGCGGATGGTAGCGTGGACCGCAATATGGTGCTGTTAGTATTTTAACACGATTTTCTGTTTTCCTTACGGTTGCTTAGTTAAAAACAACCCAAAGAAATCTGCTTATTAAAAAATATTGATTCATTAATTTGACCCACCCATCTGTATTTATTTGTTTACATGCAAACCAATCTGATCTGGATTTGTTCTTCCTTTGTGAATGTGCTATTCGTTCTCTTTTCGAGATGCTGGCATTGTAGGCAGAGGGACAGCTGTCATCAGACCTATGGGGCCTTTCCTGAAGAATTGGCTTTGTCCTACTCTATAACTTGTCTACTCTTGACTTGAAAGTCCTGGGGCGGAAGTTGAATGGATTTAAGGTCCAAAAGTGGCGTTTTCAAAACTCCTGGCAGGTTATCGGTGGCTACAGGACTTGATGGTTGTTTGCTACTTTGCGCCTCTGGATGCTCAAAGTTGCTTTGGGAAATAGCTTAGGAAAATAATTGCATTTCACATTCTTGTATTTCTCATGTTTCCTTTTTTTTTGTTTCTTTTGTTCCAGAAGGAATTGAATTCTGTGGCTTCTGAACTGGCTGCCCGTCAAGAGGAAAGTGAACATTCACACAAACATTTAATTGAACTCAGCCAGGAATTTAAGCGAAATGTACCAGAGGTAGGGTGTCTTGCTTTTCCTCAAAACTTAAATATTTAAGTCAATCCTTCTCTTCTTCTTCTTCTTCTTCTTCTTCTTCTTCTTCTTCTTCTTCTTCTCCTTCTCTTCCTCCTCCTCCTCCTCCTCCTCCTTCTCCTTCTTCCCCTTCTTTTTCTCCTCCTCCTCCTCTCCTCCTCCTCCTCCTCCTCCTCCTCCTCCTCCTCCTCCTCCTTCTTTTCCTTCTCCTTCTTCCCCCCCTCCTCCTTATCCTCCTCCTCCTCTTTTTCCCCTTCTCCTCCTCCTCCTCCTCCTCCTCCTCCTCCCTCCTCCTCCTCCTCCTTCTTCTTCTCCTTCTCCTTCTCCTCCTTCTTCCCCTTCTTTTTCCCCTCCTCCTCCTCCTTCTTCTCCTTCTCCTTCTTCCCCTTCTTTTTCCCCTCCTCCTCCTCCTCCTCCTTCTCCTCCTCCTTCTTCTTCTTCCCCTTCTTTTTCCACATCTTATTCCCCTCCTCCTCCTCCTCCTCCTCCTCCTAATTAATGCTTGAATATGGCCACAAATATTGTACACTTAACGTTTAAGTTGGGAATTTGAGTTAGGAGCCAAATTTTGAGCTCCGTCCCCTTGAACCTCCAGGCCTTCGAGGTCCAAACAAGAGAATTCTCATCCTTTCCTCTTTGCTCTCCTTTTCCCTCAGGAGGTTCGAGATATGGTGGCTCCCGTCTTAAAGAGTTTCCAGGCAGAGGTAAGAAGAGACCAGTGGCAAGGTACCTTCGTTTTTGGGTTTTTTTAACCAGGGGTAGAAAAATGTGCGAACCAGACTGGGGACTCCGAATCGAGAGAGGGTGCGACTGTCATGAAAAACGGAAGCTCTTGTTCAAAATGCAAAGCGTGTCTGTCTGTTATGCACTTGGAAAAAAAAAAAGTTGTGGTATTTGCAGATATTTGGAGCTGTGGGCCTCTCTTCCTCTCAACCCTGACCTCCCTCCCCAAGTGATGGAGAGAATGGAAAGACGGGATAATGTGTCCCTGAGTTTATTGAAGGACGTTTGTTATTGTGGTCTTACAACTTCCCCTGTATTTTTTCATTATTTCAAGCATCCACTTTCTGAAGGACTGTAATATGGATTTCAAGCAGATTAAATATACAGGATGTAGCTATGGGGGTGGGGGTGTTTCCCCCCCTGTGTTTCATCTAATTAAGCCTTAAGGCCACTTGATATAATCAGCAGAATCTGCATTGTGAAATTACACCCTGAATGTCTGAAGAGGAAGAGATTGGTCTGAGAGTTTGAGGCTACCCAGCCAGTGAAAAACACTTTTCCTGCATGGAAATCATGCAAATCAGAGAGGGCTCAGCTGAACCTACAGATGAATCGGCTTCCTTTTTGTGAAGAATGAGCTACATTTGGCGTCCAGCTTAGTCTGTAGTTCTTCTGGGAGAAGAAGAAGAGAAAATGGATTTAGATGGCCCACAAGAGCCAAGGATGGTTTTCTTGAAGAAAGAGAAGTCGTCCGTGATTTTGTGGGGCCGTCCTGACTCTCTTCATCCTGGTTAGTGACTGGGAACAAGCTGAGCTTTTCCTGGGACTGTTTTCTTGTAGATGTTTACTCCCCAACTAGCATCTTTGGTGCTAGAAGGTGGGTCAGTCTCTGGAATGGGCTCCTTTAGGTAGAGTTTGTAGGGCCCTTGGGGCCAAGTTCTTCTTCCTTGGACTGTGTGCCCTATCAGTGAAGGACATTAGATCTTCCCGGGTCCTCCCTACATCTCCAAGTAAATGTTTATGGAGGTTCTCCCATCATCCAGGTCATGGTTGTCCCAAAGTGCTTTTTCCACAAGACGGAAATTGGACTTTTTTGTTTTCCACCTTTGAAAATACTTCACTTCTCGACCAAGAAGCTTCTTCAGTTCTGACTAACGGGTAGGGAATGGAAGGATTTATAGTCTTTGCAGTCACCTGGTCATTTAGCTGTTAGTTCCCAGAGCTGTTGAGGCCACTTGGGGGTTTACCTGTATCCCAGGAGATCTCATCTTTGGGGCCTCCAGGCAGAGCAAAGGCAGTGAATATAATGGCTTAGAATGTAGAAATGGAATCCAAGTGGTGACGCCACAGAAGGGAGGAGAAAAAAGGGATTTTCCCCGGCCCCTTTGCAAGCCACCTGCGGGAGAAATAGGATCTACCTGTGACTGTCCCCTTCATTGCAGACCCCTGGCCTTGAGAATAGGGGGAAGTACCCCCAACCCACCCTGATGGCTCTGTGGATTGCTAGCAGACCTGCGGGTTTCTGTCGGGTTTTTTTTTGGTGCTGGTGGGTGCGATGAACGGAGGAATAGCAGAGCCTCTGCCCAGGAGATGGACAGGAGAGGCAGGCAGCCGTTCTCTCCTTACCCGATTTCGATAAATAAGACCCCAAGTTTAATTTTTCCATCCCAGGGAAGACAAAAGGCTGCCGGTGATGGAAATGGAACGACGACAGATTGAAAAGTTTTTTTTTTTCTTGGTTTGCCTTTTTTCCCCCGCCCCCCCCTCTCTCTTCCTTTCAGACGGCAAAAAGAGCAGCGCCAAGGCCCTGCTAATTACAAAAGTTGCTTTATGAAAGATAATTCAAAGCAATAATTTAGCAAACATAATCAAGTAGCACAGATGGGGATTCTGATGAATAGTTTGCAACATGCAATTAGCAGCTCTTGCAGTTACATATCATTAACCCTCAGAGCACAAAAATTATTTTCTCATTATTAGATGAAAAGGTAAAATTAAGCTGACTAGACAGTTAAGGAACAAACTACAATTAATTACCTTCATTTATTACAGTCATTATTTGAAACTTCTTTTCCTCTCTCTCTCTCTCTCTCTTCCTCCTCCTCCTTTTCTTGGAGGGATGAAAATATCTAAATTAAAAGTTTTCTTACATGAAAATGTAGATGAACCATCGACCTGACGGTGGAGGAGCAAGTCAGAAGGATCATGGCTGGGTCAGCTAATTTCTCCAACTTCTCAGTTGCTAAGGAAAAAAAAAAAGTTTTGAGATAATAAATTAAGGAAGGCAAATAACCCCTCCCCCCACCCAAAAAAACCCTCTCTGTCTCTCTCACTGTGAAGTCCTGAGACCCTTTCAAATATCCAGATTTTGGGCCGCTTCATCCTCAGCTGACTTTCAAGAATCTGCTTTCTCTCTCAATTCAGAGCCCCCCAAAACTGCTTCCTTGGATTTATCTCCTGCTCTTCCACCGCCCGAATGTCTAACGGTCAAAAGAATGCAAAACAAACAGCTTAATTAAAAACAACCATTAAAAGCATAATTTACATAAAGCAGTAATTACAAACGTAAAACAACACCAGCCATATGCTAAAAAGGCATTATTAAAACAATGCAAAAGTGCTAACTTGGGGGGGTGGGGGGGGGGAAGCCCCCAGAGGAGAAGACCCTCGTAAAGAAATATGGGGAGACCGTCCACAGTTCCTAGAGGAATGGGGTGCCCAGTTTCAGAACATCAGCCCATCTTCGAGAGCTAGTTGGCTTTTTTTTTTTTTTAAACAAAAAGGGAAGTGTGAGAAAATCAACGCAATCTGGACTAACGGCTGTTGTTTTGAAGTCATCGCTCTTTCATTCCTCTGCATTTCCCATCGTTTTTTAAAAAAAATAAAAATGGAGCCTCCTCTACCTGTCAGGGTTTACGGAAAGGTGATCTCAGGGGCACCCCAAATGTCCCCATCGTTCTCTTCCCTCGATAGAATCACGGGCTGCGGTCCTACCAGGTCCTGGGCATCACCCTTGAGTCCTCCTCGGGCGAGAAAATGCTTCAACGGCTGGGCAGCGTCTGAGTTTGAAACCTGTCCTCCCCAGCAGCTCCCAAGAGTCCCGTTTGATAGAAAGATTTTTTTGGGGGTGGGGGGGCTGGGATTGATTGTGAGGGGCCGAGAGCATTCGAAGGGGGGCTCGGAGCAGACAGCATGCACTCTACGATTGAGGCCGCCTTCGGACGGACGGGACACCTTGGCTGGTCCTCCTTGAACCAGGGGAAGAGAGAGGAAGCGGGTGCCCTGTGGCACAAGAGGGATGGGCTGTGTTGAAAAAGTTCTAACGAGAGGAACATCCTTGGGGAGGACAGAACGAAAAGCTTTGCCAGAGCGTTATTATGTCCGTCAGGAAGTATGATGACAATAACGGATGGCCAGCAGTAACTTCCTTTCATTCAGGAGTAGCATCGTCTTGGCTGTGTAAATTATTAAAACTCTTTCTTCCTCTCCTCTTCTTCTCCTTTAAGTCAGCCTTTGCTCCATTTCCCCTTAAGCTCTTCTTTGCTTTTATAGCTTGAATGGGAATAATTACACCGAAAGGTATTTTTGCGCTGTTTGCATATAAACCCAGGGAAAATATCAACAGAAAGATAGAAGGCAGGAGGAAAGAGAGGCAAAAGGCAACTTAAAAAAAAAAAGCTGTCCGTTGCAATAATATTTTTTGCTTCTCAGAAGAGAGAGAGAGAGAGAGAGAGAGAGAAAGAGAAAGAGATATGCATGCCTTGATAAGGTATAATCATATAGCATAGAGGCCGGTCTGACAGTAGTAATTAATTAGGCCATTATGTATTCTGTGGTGATAATTGCTTTGCTGGAAAATCACCAGCCATGGAAAAGACCCGGAGCAGAAATGTAATTCATCAATCTTGTGTCGTTGCGGAGTGTGCAGTTGTGTTTTCTCTCACCTTGAGTTGGGTGCGTGGAAGGCAGGAAGAGAGAAACAGGGAGGGAAGGAAAAAGTTAATGAGATGTCGAGGTTTAAAAGTCAGAGGAGGGCGGGGGTGTGTGTGTGTTTCAGATTCCAGGGAGCAAGGATGGAATATTTGGGGAGAGGGTCTACTTCCACCCCACTTGCTGATCCTGTCAGCTTGACCAGCCTCTCGGAGCCGCACCCG